AAGTTATAATGGTAGTATTACTAACTTTCATTATGGGTAGGGCACAATGGGGTGATTCGCTAGACTGTGGCTTAGGGACTTAACTATTTCTCATTTGTCTTTGCTCTAAGGATGTGTGAATGCTGTGACCTTTTGATTATGCTTTTTTCTTGTGCCCCTGAATTTATTGCAACAAAAGTCATATTCAGCTAAACACACTCAACTTTTTGAAAGAAATCTTTTCTGGAAACCACTTTTTTGTTTTTAATTTTAAATTGATTTTTGATCATGATTTCCCCTGAATGACTGCTGCTGAACTATTATGAGCTGAAATAAGCTGGTTGGCAATGGGAGAGAAAACAGCCCCAGACTAGTAATGAGGAAAACTGAGTCTGGTCCTGCCACTAACTGTATGACTCTGGGTAAGGCACGTCCCCACTCTGGGTCCTCATCCATAAAAGAAGCATATTACTCTAAACTTTAGAGTCTAAATGATTTCTATAGCCCTTTTCATCTCTCTGATTCCCAGTGACTTTCAACAATGCTTAAGAATTACAGTGAAAGCAGATAGGATTTTCCAGAAAGAAAGCAAGTTTTCACTTAAACGAATGTCCCTCAGTAAAATTTTGTAGGAAGCACGAATAAGGGCTTGTCTCTAGAGAAAGGTTTTGCCCACTAGATTCACTAGATCGTCAAACAAGAAGAACTTTTTTGGGGAAAGAATATGATATATATAATATGATATCCTGGACCAGAAAATTTTCTTTCATTCAAGGAATTTATCTAAAAGAGGAGAACATTCATTCATTCACTTATTGCATAAATATTTACTGAGCACCCACTGTGTAGCAGGCACTGAACTAGGTCGTGAGTTTACAGCTATAAACAAGACAGAGGGCTCATTCTCATGAGACTTCAGTCTTACAGGAGAGACAAAAATAAATACACAAGATAATTATAGATTGTGGTGACTGCCATAAAGAAAATAAAGAGAGGGTGTGCTCAAAAGGGTGGGAACCTATTTTGGTTATGGAAGACAGACAAGGCCTCTCATAGGAGGTGGTGGTCATTCCGAGGTCTAAGGGGTAAGAGAGAGTGGGCCCTACAAGGAATCAGGGGGGAGCACTTCAGGAATATGGAAAGCTCTTGAGATGGGAAACTGAAAAGGAGACAAATTTTCAGCTACCCAGAGAAAAATGCTACCGTCTTAGGCCAAGGTTATGTCAGTAGAAATGGAGAGAACTGAATTGATTTGAGATATAGCATTGAGATAGAAATGACAGGGTTCGGTAATGGATTGAATGTGGAGAGTGAGAGATAAGGAGAAATCAAGGAAAATGTCTAGGCTTTTGGCTTAGGAAACTGAGTGGCTAGTGCCATTTATTGAGATGGGGGACTATTAGAGAGAAATAGGATTTTTTTTGTAGGGGAGAATAAAAAAATTCTGTTTTGAATATACTGCATTTAAGATGCCTTTGGAACATCCCAGGGAAGATGTCAAGTAGGCAGTGGAACACACAAACCTGGGACTCAAGACAGAGGTCAGGGCTCAACCCAGAAAAGGGGGAGTCATTGGTATAAATAGGTGGTATTTAGTGCATGAGATTGAGATCACCTTGGGCAGTGGTTCTCAATCCTGGCTGCACATTGGATCATGTGGTGAACTCTTGAAAAAAAGAGACCTTTTCCCTGGGTCCCACTATCAGAAATTCTGATTTAATTGATCTGATATGGGGCCTGGACATCCATATGTTTCAAAACTCCCTAGGGAATTTTCTTATTCAGCAAGGATGGAAGGATTCTGGGAGAAAGTTCAGCTAGAGGAGGGATCCAGGACCGAGCATTTTTACATAGAGTCTCAAGTATAATACAGGAGTTTTCCATTCTTCATACCCTTCTCCTACTTGGAAGATCTACTCGTTGGCCCTTTGGATGAGGTTTAGTCCTCACTGCTCTATGATATAGTACCCTGTCCTTAACTTAGTCAGTGTGTCCTTGGTCTTCTATGTTCTTGATTTCTGAAGGAATTGGGTGCTGGAGATTTAAGTACACCCTCTTTCAGACCATCATTCGAGTGTTACCCTGATGTGGTTTAGTGGTAACAGGTATTTGTCATAGTTGAAATGTGAAGAACTTGTTTGGCTTTTGCTCTTCAATGTACTTTGTTCTTCAATGTACTTCATACTTTATGAAGAGTACATTTTGTTGTGGTTGCAGTGGTGGCTGTGAAGGGGCAGATATCTACAAAGAAAAATGCATATGTTTTTGTATGTGTGCATCTGCAGATAAATGTTTCCTGAATTATTCTAGGGTGCCTGTAGATACTTGGAAGCACTCTTTGAAGACAATTTCCAAAAGGTCATTGAGGGTTTTAAAGTTTCACCTGCTTTAAAATTTTTCACACTTACCAGTCCTAGGCTAAGTCCTTTATTTTTGCCTGCAACCTCTTATTACTCCTGAAAGCGCTGGGCTAAGAGAAAGTAAAAATGTACTCACACATGTACAGTCTGAGCTCACATCTCATACAGCCTCTAGGAAAACCTAATGAAAAGGCTATAGAAAGCAGAGGCAAAGCTTATTAAATTTTCTTGTGACCCATAGCCCACGTAAAGTCTAGTGTATAAAGGAACCATGCAAGATCATGTAGCCCTCCCCTCAGCCCTCAGGGAACCTGCCATTCCAAAAATATGGCCTATTAAGAAAAATAACTTCCAGGGACAATTCCGTAAGCTTTCTTGTTAATGTTTACAGCTGTATCAACACCACACCAATACTATGTGTGTGTGTGTGTCTGTGTGTGTGTGAGTGTGAGGCACAGACTCCATGGATCTGTGACAAGTACTATATAATTCCCTAATTGTGAAACTAGTTAGACCCAACAAGATGTACCGATGGAAGTTTGGTGAGTTAGGCTACAGCCGTTTGTTTAGGGTAATGGGTGAATTATTAACTTTGTAATTGAATCCTTGTTGCTACTTCTGCTTATGTTGAAAGCCAGCCTTGGCACCTCACTGGGCTTAGTTCTTAGGTGTCTCACTCTATATGATCTGGATATTCTCAGTCCTCCATGGCAGCTGGAAGAGGAAGGGAAGAGAAAGCTAGAATACCAGCATTGATGGTGCCACATGATGAATGGAAAGCTCAGTCACCTTGGACCAGGGCTATATCCTCGTTGAGGCTGAGCTAGTCGGCAGCCAAGGACCATAAGCTAGTTGTTCTACCTCTGCACAACTCAGTCACTTCATAGGTGAACACTTTACTTGCCAGGGTCTAGGAGCTGTTTTGGATCATCTCTAAAAGTCCTCTAGGGATCTAAAATCTATTTGTAATCTGTATACAAAACAGTAATGGTGGAGAAAACAACCATTAACAATGAATTTCTCTAATTTTCCCTGTTCATTTTTCTCCTAGGTCAAGTCCCTCTGTTATAGCAGATGCCCAAAATCTTGCACTGGCAGGAAATAGGGTGGTGGGTGCATTTCAGTTAATGGGTCTAGTTGGAACACGTTTGGCCGTGGAGACAGCTACACTCATATTACCAAGCCTTGGCTTCCTATCTGTTTTCTTTGGGCTGGGTAGGCAATGAAAAAGGAGACAGGAAAATACATTTTGGGGCAAATAAAATAAGGAATTTGTCTTACGAAGACAGCTTATAGTTGGGAAATTCTAATATTCAATTTAACCCTATCCTGATACATTCCTCTTGTTCTGTATTAAGTGGAAGCTAAGACGTTTGCGTTACCCGTAGAGTAGTGAAAAACTCCCATGCTTGAAGCCTTGTCATAAACCTTCTTCAAGGTTTTTTTCTTTTATGGATACCATTCTAATTCCCTTAGTTTCTCTTCAAGGGGCAAACTTTTAATCCCATCATCATCTTGGCGGCTCTTCCTTGAATCAGCTTCAGTCACTTAATAGTTATACTAAAATGTTGGGGCAGCACCCTAGGGCCTCACTGGCACAGAATCTGGAGGAAGGAATCCACAGTCCATTTCTGTTTCTCTATTAGGCATTGCATCTGTTCCCAATAGCACCACCCTATAGATTTACTCTACTATGGCACACCCATATTCAGATGCTTTTCTGTTATACTTGCACCAAGACACTAGTATGTCTCTTGTTAAGAATGATTTGATGATTTTTAAGAAGTCTTAATACCTTGGTTTATTTTAATTTTGCGTATTTCTCTAATACTTAGAATTTCCTTAGGTTTTAGACTTGAATAAACTGGAAGAGAGATAGAAAGGTTTTTTCCCCCCCCCAGATAATGAATTGTCACAGTCACGTGTTTACTTAAAGAGTATATTTCAGCTTCTTTTCCAAAACCACAGTAGTGGATTTAAAATAAAAAAGCATTCTCTCTGATTTAACAGAGTTTGTTATACACTTTCCAGCTTGGGCATATCACAAAATATCCAGATTCCTCTTGAGAATTTGAGTTTCCCTGCTTACATTTCTGTTTTTTTATTTCTTAGAGGGCTTTAGGTTTGAGTTATAATTTTCCAGAAAAGAGTCTTAGTAAAGAGTAGTTGTAACGTTAAAGAAAAGTCACCATGGTCTTCGTGAAATTTCCCTTTGACAAATGTGTTTGTCTGTGTCTCTGCTCCAGCTTTGTGACATTGTGGCTAACATGCATGGACTCTCTGAACTTTCAGAGGGGATTTCCTCCATCATGAAACAAGCAAACACCCCCAATACACACCTCTCCTGTTTGGTTTTTTTTTTTCTCACTGAGAGGACCAGAGAAGGCGCCTAGTATCCGGCCTCTCTACTGATGCTTGACTCCAAGTTGCCCTCTGAGACCTCAGCTCTCCATTTATAAAACACAGCTAGGAATGCTGGCCACCAGATACCGCTCATAAAGCAATTTGAAATGGAAGGCATTATGTAGACACGTCATTATAAATATTAATATTGATAATTCCTTGGCTTAAACTCCCAGTTTGTATGTTCACATATCTATTTAGCATGGTCAATTGTTCAGCTAATTAATATGCTTTTATTTTATGATTTGCTATTTCCAGGGCACAGACAGAAGCTTGATGACTCTAAACCTAGTTTGTTCTCTGACCGCCTCAGTGATTTAGGGCGCATTCCTCATCCCAGTATGAGAGTAGGTGTCCCGCCTCAGAACCCACGGCCCTCCCTGAACTCTGCACCAAGTCCTTTTAATCCACAAGGACAGAGTCAGATTACAGGTAAGACAGACTCATAGGTTTCACTTGCATAGATGCTGGCAGGCTGGGGGTGAGGGGCTACCAGAGGAGATGTGTTCACTTCAAAACTCCTGGAGCTGTGAAGCGGCTTATTATTAAAGAATCAAGACTTGAAGACACTGATTTCTTCTTTTTTATTAAAAAAATTATAACATTCAGTAACTTGGGGATAACATTTTGGGGGATATTTCTACTAATGCTCTACTCTGCAGCAATCTCAGTCTACACCCAGATGGAATGGTAATAATGCACTTTGGGAGAATGTTTATTATACATTTCTATATTGTATCCAGGTGGTGCAGGGGATAACATCACACCCTTACTATTAGAAAATTAGTGTTACCGTCTCAGATTTGGGCTTACATTTCTTACATGTGTAACTGTTTCATTAAGTCTGCTTAAAAATTGCCCAGGGCGAACAGGAAGCCTTGATTGGTAGTTATAAGGCAAGGTCAATGAGTGGCTCATCGGGCACACAGAATTCACTTCTGATTTACATTTAGCTCTGGTTCTCCATTCGACATTTCTCTTTATAAATTCTAGTCAGCTACTTACTTTACCTTTCTTCTGAGAAATTAACATCGGCGTTACATTACAGACTAATCATTCACATTTGGTGCATTAAGATCCCCGACTCTTTTCTTTTTGTCCCACTTGTGCAAACACAGATTTATTTAAAGACTAGTTTGAAAATTTTTAGGTCGTGATGACAAGAGAGTGTATTAATTATTATAAATCTTTAATTTGCAGATAAAAGTATTGAGAGCTGAAAGGAAGTTTACATGTCATCTAGTTGCTATCATTGGTAGAGGTGGACTAGAATAGAGGGAAAGTAAGTCAAAACAAAATGTGTAATAAGCTCTCTACATGGATCTTTTTTATGGTTGGATTTTTGTTTATAGCAGTTAGACTCGAATGTTCTTAATGGTCTCAAAACATAATTGTTTATAAAAGGAATGACCTATCTCTTCTTCTCTCCTGCCCATATTATGTGAATGTATTCTTGGATAGTTACTTAGAGTAGGTTTCACTTTCTGTGAGTATATGTATTTTAGTCTGAATGTGTGAGTTTGCATGAGTGTATATTTTAAAAAATAATATAGAATTATAAAAATCAAACATCTAAACACTAAAGATAACCAGATATCTGCATTAAGAACATTAGTGTCCTTTGAAGAATGGCCATGTTTTAGACTATATAAAACTTTAAACATTGATATGTGGGATTGGAAAGTCAATGTGTTCACTAGACATATGTCTTTGATAAAAACACAAGAGTAAAATTCACACTGACTTGTGAATTTGAAGCTTGTAGCTATGGGTGCTACTGCATTTAAAGTAGTGGACTTGGAGACTACAAAAGGTGGGAGAGTGGGAGGTGGGGGTGAGGGTTGAAATATGACCCATTAGGTACAATGATCGCTGTTTGGGTTATGGGTTCACTAAAAGCCCAGACTTCACCTCAATGCACTATATATGCATGTAAGAAATCCATACTTATACCCCCTAAACATATGTAAAAAAAAAAAAGTAGTAGGCTTTAGATTATTCGTTGAGGCATATAATAGCTTTCCTTTTGTCTTTATAGTAATCCTTAGACTGTGTGTGTATGTGTGTGTGTATGTGTGTTTGTAGAAGCAAATGTGGATATATATATGTATATATATAAGTTTATATATGATTTGTAATGGATTTATGATGACTAATAAAAATATATATAAATATATGTTCTATGATTTGGCAACCACTGGCTTTTTAAATGTTTAATTTCTGTATTCTAATCATTATTTGTTTGCTATTTATGCTGTTAATGACTAATGCTTTAGAAATGGCTTTTGGAGCCTGCATGTTGCTAGATTCACTTAAGAAGATGTTTCTCTCAAGGCTTTGTCCTTAAATCTAAAGATGAGATCATAAAATAGATCCAGAGGACATTTTAGAACCTAAAGGTACCTTAGATATCGTGAAACAAATGGCTGGAAAAATTGTGAAGAGGATCTGTGTTTTAGCGGCATCCCCGCCTAGCAGATATGCATGCAGAGAGTGAGGCTCAGAGGAGGTGTGGGGCTCGCCTGTGCCACAAATGCATCTGAGCAGACTGGGAGTGTGGCCACCTCCACAGGCCTGGCCCTCCTCCAGTTGTCAGCTTCTCTTCACCCTCCCTGTTGGGAGGCTCAGGAAGTTAAGCTTCTTGTCTGCAGTTGCACAGCAAGTTACTGGCAGGGCAGGGAACATATTCACTGGATGTATTTCTGAAAACGAAAATATAAAACAAGTTAATTTCTAGGTACTGATAGCTTCTTGGAATTTTTATGAGTATTAGTGCTCTTCATTTTGGGATTATAGTAGTAATAGAATTGATTTATAGACCAGTCTTCTTTTTTTTTCAACATCCAGTAGGTATTGGACCCAACAACTTTTCTCAAACTTTCCAAATTTCCAGATGTCCACATACATACTTGTCACCCCAACCACTCTTGGCCATGTGAGCTTTCTTTAAATGTTCCCATATTGTGAGTGAGAGAACGCCTGTGTCTGTCCATAACCAAGGAGATGCAGTGTTCTACTGTGACCCAGTTTTTAAAGGAAAGCCCAGGAACATCTGGAGCAGCAGCAACATGAAAATGAATTGAATAGATTTAATTTTTAAATCTCTGGATTGACTTCTCTGTTTATTCAATAAGTATTATTTGGGACCTACCCCATGTAGCAAACTTGGTATTAGGTAATATGAAGAGAGAAGAAAAGCGCTGTTCTTAGTTATAGTTGAAGAGATAGTTATCTTCCCTAGCCCTGGCATACCACATCCTGTGCCCCAACTGTAATACCATTCCTGAGTACACGTGCTTCTCTCTGTACCCCTTTACTCAGCCACCCATCTACAGTAGTCTCTGCTGACAAGATTCCACCCATCCTCCAAGGCTACTATGTTATCTTCTTCAGGAAAGAGTTCTGGAACCTTCATCCAAAGGCAGTGTATCCACCCTCTAAGCTTTAGTTAAGATTGCCTTCTTTTAAGGACACTGTATATTCACCTTTTCTACCCCGCTAGATTGTACGTTCTTTAAGGGATTTATTATAGGGATTTATTTTCTTTTGTGACTAGCCCAGTGGCAGTGTCTCATTAAATGTGAATTATTGAAAGTTCAGGTGAGAAGAAATCAGTGCAGTCAGGGTTGAGAAGATATCATATCTGTCTTAGTAGCATTAACTCTTCTAATTTCCTGTCCCAGGATGTCATTGTTCCCCAGTGATGGGCAGCAGCTTAAATCACATTTCAGTAAAACATTTACATAGTTAAACCGTCCGGTTTTATTCCAGTTTAGGGTTAATGTAATTGCATGACTAAATTTAAATTCTTGCCTGTAATGGATTTTGTAACTTCTTTGCAATATGCCATATCTGCATTTTAGTTCGTGTAATCCTTTGGACAAGACATTTGTAACAGGAAGGGCCCAGTTACTTCTCTGTGATTGGCTTGCTACTCTTGATATCTCAAGCTCTTACCCCAAAACTGTAGATAATGATCATGGCTATATAGTCCCCTCTAGTTCTCCCACTTGCCAACATAAAAGGCAGAAGATGCCTTTAAACTCCCAGAAGAGTGAAATGAAATTAGCAACCGTAAATTGAGGAAGTCATAAGCACTTAGTGTTTCATAGTTAACCTTTTCCAGTGTCTCTTGCAATTCCTAGGGCCAAAAGTTCTAGCCATGTGGTGGCTAGAACCTAACTGAAGTGGTTTCCACCTAACTTCAGTCTGATTCTGTATTCCCTCCCTGGTGTCTTTGCAGTGCCTGTCTGATGGTTATACTTTGTGGAAGTCTTTAATGGCTGACGTTCAGCTGAAGGCCCAGGGCCTCCCCACAGCTTCCTGGGGAAGTTGCTTCCTCTAGACCTCTTCTTATCATTCAGACATCTGCTGCTTGTCTCTAGGTGCCAGGAAACTCCTAGTCTGTTACAAATGTTCACTTCTTTTGATTCAGAAAGTGGCGATAGCAGTAGAGTCAGGATATGATGTTGGGAGATACTGCTTAAGATATCTTTAAAGTCATTATCCTCTAGATGGGTCCGCTACACCTAAAAAATAGTGCTGATCCAGGCCCTTTGGTTTGGTGGATTGGGACATTCATCTCAGTTTTAGGGTGGGCAATGCGCTGCTATTCTGTTATTCACTCATTCAAAAAATACTTCATGAGTGCTTATTATCTGCCGGGCATTGATGCAAATGAGTGAGAGAAATGCAGCTTCTGCTCACAAGGAGCTTATATTTAGTGTCAGATATAGTCAGTAAATAGGTAAATAAGCATATGTACATGATAATCTCTGGTAATAATAAATGCTGTGAGAAAATGAAATAGGATAATTGATAGATAACTACTTGGGGAAGGAAGGAACTAATTTTGATTGGAAAGTTGAGAAAGGCTCCTTTGAAAAGCTTTGAAGATCTGTGAGGAATGACATTTCAGGCAGTAGGAAACTCATGCAAAGCCTAGATTATGGGGAGTCTCGGGGGCCACAATGGTCGTTTGGGTTTAGTTCTGACTGCAGTGGGGCACCAGTGTAGTGGGGGATGTGAAGCAAGGGAACGACATTATGTCATTTACATGCATAATAAAACTTGTTTGGATGCTGTTTGAGGGGACCATAAGGGGCTAAAGAAAGAAGCAGAATTATGTTCAGGAAGCTACTGCAGTAGCCTGAGAGAGTTAATGGTGGTAGCAATGGAGATGGAAGGACACTGAAGGATTCTGAATACTCTGTCTCTTTTTTTTTAAGAGAGCTCACAACTCTTGCTGACGGTGAGGGGAAAATAGGACTTCAGAGTTTTGGCCTGGGCAATTGGAGGATGGTGGTGCCATTTACTGATGTGGGGAAGACTCAGGGAGGATAAGATGGAGTGGGGCTGGGGAGCTCAGAGAAGCAGTTGGGTGGAGAAAAGAAGATGCTAAGAAAGAAGAGACTCGACATTCTCACTCCTAC